TGACAAGTTATGGTGGTGTAGGTCATATTTTATGAGCAAGACTGGAATCCCCAGGTAGACAGGGCTCACCGAATTGGTCAAACAAACCATGTGTTATCTATAAATCTAGTCACAGAGCAGACGGTCGAAGAGGTAAGAAGTAGATTGTAAACTATCTCGAAATTGATGTTTAGTTCCTCTAAATGAAGGTTCTAACTGTGTAGGTCATTATGCGTAGAGTAGAGCGCAACGGAAATTATAGCTTAGCCAGAATATTGTAGGAGATGATGTCTTGGATCAGGAAGGGAAAGAGATGGCAGGAGCTGAAGCTGGTGACTTGCGATCTGTTATACTTGGATTGCATATGCTAGATCCTGCAGAAATAACCAATGTGGAATCGGATGAATATGATAGGACTGAGTTGACTGCAATGGCAGAAACGATTATTGGATTTCGCAATGAAGAACGTTCTGGGAATTAATAATGCATGTCACTTGTTCAAGTTATACAGTATATTTATCTAACCAAACCCCAAAATAAGTAAGAAAACCACTTATTTTTCGAGAAAATATTTTCCTCCTTCCTACTAAACATACCCTAACTCATTATTTTTTCTTCTATTTTTTGGGCGGTGTGGCGTTGAGGTAATTGGGTGGGGCGTTTACTGTTTCCTTTCATGAAAAAATAACAAATGATCATATTCATCGTGGCAAATGAAATATCAGTGAGTAGACTGGGTAAGCTTTCACCCATTTTGTTGCCCAGTAAGACCAAATATAAATTAAAGAGAATTAAATTGGTGTAAATTTACCTTTTTAAATAATTATTTTACTTCTGAAGCTATAAAAGGTTAGTTTAGTAGGAGTACTGTTTTTCCCCATCCTGAGAAAAGAAATAAAGAATACGCTAAAGTATCCATCAATTTGTTAGATTTCTGGGAATTTTCAATGGAGGGATCAAAAGCATTTTTATATAAGTTAAAAGTTAAATGTGTTAATCATTACTATATCAAAAGTGAAAATTTTAGGTAACAGAGAAAGCTAAAGTGCAATATTCCTACCAAAACGTGACTATTGCTTATGTAAAAAATTAGACAAATTTATTTGAATTTTTTAAAATCATTTCTTTTTTTTGGGGTTTAACCATCCGTACCGAAATCCACTAGCCCGGCTATACCAGATTGGCAAGAAATGGCGTGGTATAACACTCTTTTAAATGGTATTTACTTTTTAGCCAGTGTTTTTAATGTTGAGCAAAAATAGTCACTACTCTATTAAAATCGATACAAAAAATTATTTTTATCCTTTCTTCATGAGTGATGTGTAAATATTAAGGGCATATTATCCTTAATTTCATGAGTGTTGTGTAAATATCAAGGACAAACCATGTCTTAATATTTTACACATCATTCATGAAGTTAAGAACACCATGTCCTTAATATTTTATACATCATTCATGAAGTTAAGGATATCATGTCCTTAATATTTACACAATACTCATAAAGTTAAGGACACTATATCCTTAACATTTACAATGCACACATGAAATTAAGGACACCATGTCCTTAACATTTATACTGCACATATGAAGTTAAGGACATGATGTCCTAAAGTTTCATGAGTGTTGTGTAAATATCAAGGACAAACCATGTCTTAATATTTTACACATCTTTCATGAAGTTAAGAACACCATGTCCTTAATATTTTACACATCACTCATGAAGTTAAGGACACCATGTCCTTAATATTTACACAATACTCATAAAGTTAAGGATACTATGTCCTTAACATCTACAATGCACACATGAAGTTAAGGATACCATGTCCTTAACATTTATACTGCACATATGAAGTTAAGGACATGATGTCCTAAAGTTTAACAACATAAGGTGCAAATGCAAGTTAAGGACATTATGTCCTTAATATTTACATTGCACACATGAAGTTAAGGACACTATGTCCTTAACATTTACGCTGCACATATGAAGTTAAGGACATGATGTCCTAAAGTTTAACAACAGAAGTTGCAAATACAAGTTAAGGACATTACGCCCTTAATATTTACATTGCACACATGAAGTTAAGGACACCACGTCCTTAACATTTACACTGCACATATGAAGTTAAGGACATGATGTCCTAAAATTTAAATACAAGTTAAGGACATTATGGCTTTAACATTTACATTGCACACGTGAAGTTAAGGACACTATGTCCTTAACATTTACGCTGCACATATGAAGTTAAGGACATGATGTCCTAAAGTTTAACAGCAGAAGTTGCAAATACAAGTTAAGGACATTATGTCCTTAACATTTACATTACACACATGAAATTAAGGACACCACGTCCTTAATATTTACACTGCACAAATAAAGTTAAGGACATGATGTCCTAAAATTTAACAACAGAAGGTACAAATACAAAATACTTTGTCCTTAATATTTACACAACACTCATGAAGTTAAGGAATTATGTTCTTAATATTTACACAGCACCCATGGACACCACGTCCTTAACATTTACACTGCACATATGAAGTTGAGGACATGATGTCCTAAAGTTTAACAGCTGAAGGTGCAAATACATGACACTTTGTCCTTAATATTTACACAACACTCATGAAGTTAAGGACACTATGTCCTTAATATTTACACAGCACCCATATCTAGCACAGGGGTATTTTTGTCCGCACGGGTAAAAATCTATTAAGCACTGGCTAAAGAGTAAATACATTTAAAACAGTGGCTAAAAAGTAAAGACATCTCTAATTAGTGGCTATCTGTGCACTTCCCCCCAGATTGGTGCGGCATAAAATCTGTTTAAGGAAAAAACGCTTCCTATCAAAAATTTCTTCATTCATAAGGCTCGAATCGAGACCATGTAAGCTACGTGACCTATCGATTTCCTACAAATTTACTAAGTTTTATTGCTCGAATTAATGAAATTATTAGCATACTGTCAATTTGAGAAATGTAACTTGTCTTTCTCATTACCGAAACTCGCGAACTATTTCGAACAATCGAAGCTGAATTATTTTAGTTATGATATATAGTTGGTACGATATATTGTAAATGGATTTCAAGTAGCCATCACTGGGATTGATTCGTTTACGATAGTTTTGATGTGCTCATGCATGAGCTCATATTTATTATATTTATGATTTTAGGGTGCATAAGTGCATTGACTAAAGAATTAATGAAATTAAAATATGGTTGTCTTCTGTCAAAGCTAGATCATTTATGGAAAAATTATGCGACATAATAAATATATACACTGTATTTACTATTTTTTTGTTAATACTTTCAAAAAATTACCATTCGTAGCTATATTTGGAAATTATAATAAATTCACTTGTAGTACTGAAACAAGAGATTAATTGTTTTGAACTAAAATAAGAGAGTAACAAACTCTCGTAGTTATTTGGTTAGAGCACCTACTTAGTAATCAGAGGTTTTGAGTTTGACTCTCGATCATATCATTCTATTTTTTTGCACTATATTTCGCCTTAATAATGTCTCGAGAGTAATTGGCTTTTTGGAGTCCTTTATTTATTTATCCAATGCCCCGAAGGGACACTTTTGGGGTCTAAATACTTTGTTTTAAACAAATTATATTTAACAAAATGTTATCAAATAAATATAAATGCTAGACAGTTATTTGGTGCAGGATTTATTCGACTAATCAAGACATGCTTAAATATGATTAATATTTATCAATCGTACATATGACGTCAAGCAACAAATAGTTTTCTAAACATATTGATTAAGATAGGTTCAGGTCTATTATCGTACACAGCCTAATGTGGTTTGTTTTTAATATTCTTTTAATCTGCTCGTATTAAATTAGCATATACATGCATCTTCGCGAAACTAGTCTCCATGGTTATAAATTACTCCACTAATTAATTTTTGGTGCATGCTTAATCAAATTCGACCCCATATATATATCACGTTCCGTTAGATTGGACATAACAACTAATCATAAGATCATGCTAAGCTCAATTACCTAGCTTAGTTTAAGACTCTAATTTGTTCTTTATAGCTTTTTTCTTATATACTGATAGTGAAAAAAAAGAATTTATATTATTTGCTATCTAATCGATAATTTAATTAGCTGTTCATAATGAATGAAACTAGTTATTTGAAAAATAAGAGACACACTCAGTTGTGAATGTGTAACATGCACGCGCACGCACACACGCACACACACAACTAAAAAACATTAAGTTCACAACTGAACTATTATAGACGTTTTTACGTTTTAAATATATATTTCACCTTAGAAAAATATCAATTAATATTTTATAGCTGTTCATTAAAAATAAGAGACACACTCAGTTGTGAATGTGTAACACGCACGCGCACGCGCACGCACACACGCACACACACAACAAAAAAATATTAAACTCACAACTGAACTATTATAGACGTTTTTACGTTTTAAATATATATTTCACCTTAGAAAAATATCAATTAATATTTTATAATATTTAGAGCTTTAACTTTAACTAAAGTTTTGAGTATTTTATATTTCTTTATTTTAACTATGTGGGAACTCATAATATTTAGAAATTTAAAATTCGAGTAAAACTTTACTTATATAAATTATTTTCTTATTTGAATTCTATAAAATTAGCTAATTACTAAAAATGTGAAGGATTTGTAATTATGTTTGAGGTCCAGCTATGCACAATAAGGAAACTTAATTATCTGAAAGTAATTAAATCGCTTTTATCTTCCTAGATACTGAAGAATTGCATATTTAGTTGTGAAGGATCCAGGTAACTAAATTGAGAAGTACGGTGTTTATGGGATTGGTTAGAAATAATTTATATATTTCACAGATGACAAGCACTTTGCTAATTAAACGCGTATACGTTACAACTATGTTTGTCCAACGGGACAGAACGAGACAGGACGGGATAAAATTAACGGGACGGGACGATATTTAGTCGGGATAGTGACGGGACGGGACGAAACGGGACGGGACAAACGGGACGAAACGATAGACCCATCTCATCCCGCTAACAAACGGGACGGGACGAGACGAAATGGTAGGCCCATCCCATCTCGCTAACAAACGGGACGGGACGAGTTCGCGGGCCTTAAGTGCCGTTTTAAACAAAAAATTATTTAAGCATTGAGTTTGGCAACGACTATTCTTTTGACAATGACTAAATTTTTAAAGTTTGCAACGGCTAGTTTTTTGACTTATTTAATAAACTTAAAAATTAAACGGAAATTAGAAAACTAAGTAAAGAATTATAAAGTATTAAAACAAAAGACTTGTAATGAAATATTCTAGATCCCATCCCGCTAACAAACAGGACGGGACGGGACGAAACGGTAGGCCCATCCGGTCTCGCTAACAAACGGGACGGGACGGATTCGCGGGCCTTAAGTGCCGTTTTAAAAAAAAATTATTTAAGCATTGAGTTTGGCAACGA